GCGAGCGGAGCGGGCTCGTGCGTAAGGGGGCGAGGGGAGCGAGAAGGCGGTGGCCAGTTCACGGAGCGAGGGAGGGAGGGATGAGAGGCGCTTCGCGGCGCTCTCGCCCGGCCCTCCAACGAGGCTTTACGTAAAAGCCCGAGAGCCGAGGCAGGCGGAGCTAGCAAGCGAGAACCACACCGAGGATTGCGAGCCTTCAGTTGTGCTCCCGCCAGTCTTCGATAGGACTTGTTCTCGCTTGGGAGTCGTCTGGGTTGGCGGCCCCTTTGCTCTTTTGTTTTCTTTTCCCCTTTGGATGGGTGCCTATTTTCTTTACCGTGCGGATTTTTCTTAACCCGGCAGAAACTCGCCAGCCTCGCGATCGGTGGCTTCCTCCCCTTCCGCCGCGACGTAGGTTGGGGGAATTGGATGCCGGTCACAACAGTGGGATGAAATAAGCGCCTATCTTGTGCTATTTTCTGGCTTGTTTTCTTCCACGCCTCGGGTTATTTCAGCTTCTTTTTAACTAGCTCAGCCTGTGTAACTTTTCCTCCTAGTTCTCTTCCTTTCCGAAGCTGCATCTTTCTTTTCTGAAGGATGGATGAGTGGCTTTAGATTATATCGTTAATCATGATGTCACGTTCGGGAATGAATCTCTGTTTCTTTGGGGTTTACTGCTCCTTTCTGAATATATCGCTTTGTTAGACTGATGCTCTCCAAGTTGCACTGCTGGCAAGCTTGTAAGATATAACTGCGCCTGTGTAAGAATCTCATTTCTCTTTGTCAGTAGCATTTTTAAAGGTTTGGTTTTTTTAAAAAAGAAAAGCAGTATAAAACCCTTGAGATCTTTGCTTATTGTAATGTTAATCATAATTATCTCCCCACCTTAAGGAAATAATTTTGTAAGGGGTAAAAAAAAAAATTGGGGAGCTGCTGTATTGTGAAATAGATGCTGTCAAAATGGTATGAAATCCATTTAATATCTTTATTCCATAAAGATATTAAAATGGTTATGAATTGCCTTGGACTGTTATGAGAGGATGTAAATTTTACTTGATTTGGTATAAGTATAAAAAATAAAAGCTGATTTGGAATATTGCCTAAGTGGTATATTGTTAATTTCCTACCAGTGTCATCATTGTTATCATTTACAGTAGTGTATGGATCGCAGGTATTTTGATTTTTGCCCCAGTCTTGTTTATTATGTTTTATTACTGTATAAAGGATAATATGAAACAAACCTACTGAGGCTGTTTCCTAGTGCAAAACAGTACCCACTTTTCATTGTTTTATGAATACATCCGCTACTTTCTGCTTACTTTCTATTTATTTATGTTTTATGTGGCTCTTGGTTTTGTTCTGAGGAATGGGCTGTTCTGAGCCTGCTTTCTGGTGTTTGGTTACTGCTTTTAGATATGTTTGCTTTATTAATAAAGAACCTATGAAGTTTGCTCCTGTGTGGCTGACAAACCTATGTATGTTAATGCTGATGGCTTCAGTAGAGTTTACCTGTAGGTAAATAGGCAGAGGAGCTATTTGCTTTTAACAATATCCATTTTATGCTACAGTATATGCATATGATATATGCATCTTGTATATCTGCTAGTTCTTGTAGGTGTTTTACTCAATTAGATGGTAAAATGCCATTGATAAAACATCTTTATACTAGCAAAGCATACCTTATTTCGTGTAATCCTGTTGAAAACTTGAAAAGGCTATTTTGGAGAATTTGACTTGACAGTTTTCTGTGCACTTAATTAAGGAATAAATTGAGCTCAATAAGTATATTGAAGTTCATTCCTGTGTATAAAAGATAAGTCTGATTAAATATGTGGACTTAACTCTTCGGTGGGTAAGTACAGGATTGATCTGCCTAGAAGTAATCTACTTCCTGAATCTGGTTGATTTTTTTTTTTTTTTTAGGATTATGGTGAAAGCTTCTGGTCCTCATGGCTACAAATAAGTTTAAATAGATAAAACCTATGAATTGGGCCACCTTTTAAAAAAACAAAAACAAAAGAACAATCCTTTGATTATTATGACATGTAGACCATAAATATGGCTAATTTGTGGAAAATGTTGACTGCTGAAGGGCCAGAATATATTTTTTATTTACCAAATTTCTTCTGTGGTCTTTATTTACTCTTATAATCTTGTTTAAACTGCAAACAAGATTATTGTTGATATAAGAGTAATAAAGGAATCTTAAGCTGTTGCTTGAGGGACTCCTAGGAACTGTGATATATTTCTTCATAGGGTATCAGGATGATATACTTTCTTAAAGAATTAAAGTACATGATAGTTTCTTCAAGGCCTTGTGTTTGACTAAATTACTCCCAACAGGCAAGAACTTGGAATAATCACTAAAGGTTAAGGGTTGTGATGACATTTTATCATATATGCCTTTTTGGTGTTACTGACCATTAACAAGGTAGTTTGGGTTAAAATGAAAGTTAGGATTGTCTCCAAATTTTTTAAAAAATATTTTGACTCTTGAAAAATCTGGCAGCTTTAAATTCTTGGGTCAAAAGTCTAACAAAAAAATTAACTTTCTTTGTGAAACAATCTTTAACTATGATGTTAGTTTCATTAAGGCTATTAATGAGAAGTTCTGTTGATTTATTTGTTACAAAGCAATTAGTGAAGTCTATGTTGACTACTACTATTACTTTTGCTAATGAGGGGAGATTGTATAGCAGAAATTAGCTTGGTTTTGAAAAGAAACGTACACATTTTTAATAAATAAGACATTCGTTTAACTTAATATGACTGCTATATTTTCTTAGCAAAAACACCCTGTTTAAGATAATGGAAAAATGGGTAGGGTAGGCAGAATTATAAGTACAGTTGCCTTTCACTCATCACATTCTAGACCATTCTAGTCATTGCATTTCAATATTGAGAACAACTGACCTGACCATTTTCAATTTCTTCTTATTGTTTAATTATTAAAGGAAAGACAGGAGGAAAAGATGACAACTTTCCATTTGTTTTCTTGTAACGTGATAGAAAATGTTTTGGCTATCTCCTTTAAACAGCCTGGCTTTCAGCAACATGTCATATAGAAATTCATATTGTGGATAAGAACATCTGTCCCTACAGTCTGTGTTAATTTTCGAACCCTTAAGGTTCACTGCCTGTTATTGTCTGTCGAATTTAATCTGAGCATCAGTGACTTGTTCTGTATCAGTTAAACCGATGCCAAGATGTTAAGAATCTGTTTATTAAGATAATGCTTTTGTACAGAGAAATGACATACATATTTTCTCCAGTGCTTTTGGTTCCAGATTGCTTATATAAATCCATATGTTGCTATGTCCTACCTAAATTACTTAATGCCATTACCTGTAAAGCATCTAGTAGATTCAATCTTAAATGTGTTTAGGAAAAAGATCTATCGAACTTGGTAGGATTTTCAAGGTGACATAGCATTTATAACACGTTTGGAGCTCTGTGTGTGTGTATGCGTGCACATGTGTCTTCAAGCCAGTGTCGACTCCTGGTGACTGCCTGAATCTACATTTTCTTGGCAAGATTTTGCAAATGGTTTACCATTGCCTTCTTCCTACCACTGAGAGAGAGTGACTGGCCCAAGATCACCTAGCTGGCTTTGTGCCTAAGGCAGGACTAGAACTCATGGTCTCCCAGTTTCTAGCCTGGTACATTAATCATTACACCAAACTGGCAGTTTTGGAGCCAGTTTTGAAGAAAAATGATAGATGTTAAATGTTTCTTAAATAAATCTAGATATAATCATAGCTCTAAAAGTTAATGTCTGAACTGGGATTATTATGCAGAGTTAAAAATTGTTTAAAAACCTGTCTAGTATAGAGATCCCTATATTTTTGTATTTAAGTTTACACATTGTTGGAGATGGCTTGTTGTAAAAATGTTGGTACAAAAGATGGTACAAACACTTAATTTAAATTAACATGGTTTTCTCACTAGATGTACTATTTTAGTGTATATATACACACACACACACCCACACACACACATACACTTTTAAGTGGGAAAACTTATATCAGTTTGTTTCTTTGGACATATTTCTTATTTAAATAATTGATTACAGTTACCTTGATTTAAATCAGTGCACCCTGATTAAGTGCAGAAAATTGAATATGTGACTCCTCTATCAGGATGTTGAAGGAAGAGATAAAAGAGCAAAAGTTTTAACTATTATGTAATTCCCATTACAGGGAGTAAAGTGGCAGTTTGTCCAAGAAAGATATTCAGGTCATGATTCTGATGGAATAGATAGGACACCCAGTAAACTGGTGTGGTGCATATGACAGTGCTTTGAATAATTTCTTCATATGCTGTAGTTATTAATGAATGGAAGTCTGCCTCTCATTGTGGAAATCAGTGAGGGAGTCTACTGCTATGAAACTAGAAAAGAGAAGTTCAAGGGAAGTGGCTAATTTGGTTGCTGTGCAGTCACCTGAGCATAATTTCTTAGGGCATTAAGACTTGCATTCGAGTAGACATATGTAGGCTGGTAAAGATTTTATCCTGCTGGCCTTTGTTACTTCTAGCTATAACACCTGGTTTCTTGGCAAAGAGCTGGACACCTTCTGTATTTTTCAGTAATTACGAGGAGGAGGC